ATAATAATAATTATGATAATAATAATAGAATTAAAAAAAATGATAATAATGACGATCAACAAATAATATGGAAGATAGGTACTCAAAACACAAGGGGCCTCAGAGATATTGTGAAACAGACCACATGGTGGACATACTGCCTAGGGGAAAAATTAGATATAATTCTATTAACAGAAACAAAAACTACAAAAGACTCAGAAAAATTCATATTCTATGAACAAAACAAGACAGATAACCCAAAAAATTCGATATATAAAATATGGTGGTCGTCAACCACAGAAGCTTACAATAATAATATTGGATCAGGAATCGGAATTATGGTGAAGGCACATATAGCTAAACATGTATACAAAATCGACAAATTGGATGGGCACGGAATCTGTATTCTTTTATCATTTAGAGGAAGAATAATTTTTCAAATAATTGGAGTATATGCACCTAACAAATACTCCTCGAACAATGCTATCCTAAGAAAATTAAAACCATGGCTTTACAACCACATTTCACAAGCTCTCTCTAATAATTGGATCTCAATAATTCTAGGAGACTGGAATGCAACCCCAGACCCAAGTATAGATCGATTTCCAACAAAAACTAAAACATCACCAGAAAGCAATTTACTTCAATCGATTATATGGAGTGGATACACAGATACTTATAGATATATTAATGAGAAAAAGAAAGAATTCACCTATTATCAAATTTTTAATGATGAAATAAGAAGTAAAAGTCGTATAGATTCTATTTGGATCCATCAATCATACGAAGAACTCATCACCGGTGCTGATATAGACAATACAACTCTGATAGCACATAGCGATCACTGTTGTGCCCGAGTGTCATTAAATGTTAGTAAATTTTGCGATGGAAAGAGTTACAAAAAATATAAAAAAATGAATTATCGAACACCAAAATTATGGAATCTCAAAATGGCCGATCATGAAAATTGGGAAAAATTTGTACAACAAACAGAAGATACATGGAAAGAATATTTACAGGCAACACAAGAGCTAGAATCAGTAGAAGACATCTGGCTCAAACTTAAATCTACCATCATAGAAACAGGAAACAAAACTTTACCCAAAGCCAAAGAACCAAAAAATCGCACAAATATTATGTGGCAAAAACA